TAGTCATTTGATGAATGTTTCTGTGTAAGTATTATGTTCATTAACATAGTGATGCTCTCAAGAAGATCATACATAGAACATAATAGCATAAGGAATTAGGTACTTGGGTATGTTTATGTAAATCAGTTATATCATACAAACAAAACAACGGATAATATACAATACATAGTAGCATGAGATAAAGGAGACATTATAACCAAGGATAAATGAGTGTAAATTGGTTATATTAATATATTTGGTGATACGAATCTCGTAAATGAAATGCCACGGAAATCTCTTCACATAACTTTGTTGATATGCTGATTTGTCAGGACAACATATACTGAAAAATTCTGGAAAACGTATTTATCATTGTATCTGTGTTCATATGGAGTATTCATACAGACTCTGACAGTTTCCTATGACTCAGAAATGACGCGATCTGTACATAAACATGTGTTTGGTTTGAAGGACCCGTAGCTATGTTCCTTTGCATTACGCTACTGAGAATCACAATGTACACAGTACATACTTGAAAGCCTCCGACGTTCGATCTCTTGATCCCGCCAGATACCCAGTTTATTTTAACTTTAACGTGTCCTTCTCAATGTTACACTTTACGAACGACGCCCGATGCAAGGGCGACAGACTTCTATACCCTTTGTGTTGCCCGTTTGTCCACAAATGTTTACACAGTGTGCATTTTGCGTACCGACTAATACAACTTGGACAAAGGGAACGATCGACGAGAATAGAAACCTGGAGATATGACTGGCCTGTAGTAGGTGTGTTTTCCTCACGACGACCTGTACGTATAGTCCGTTTGGCTCAAAAGCGGACCGATGAATTGCAATCTAACTCGAAAACTAATAAACATAAAATACTCAATGAAACGCTGATCATAATCAAAACATCATACCAACTCTGTGAGGTTTTGCAGAATTTTTGTCCTAAAAATAAAAAGTTGTTTAACAAACTATCATTAAAATATTGATACAGTTCACTGTTTGTTAAGAGGGAGGAGTGCAGAGAAAGGGACAGCCAGGTGTTCGAGAACGGATGGAGACGGCACAGCACAGGTTAATGAATAAATAACTTTGTCTGTGAACGTGCTTCTCGAACACCTGGCTGTCCCTTTCTACACTCCTCCCTCGTAACAAACAGTGAACTTCAAACCACGAGCGCCCTTTTCCATTGCCAACACTTTAAAGAACTACACTGTAATAGTGTGGTCTTCCCACAGACAAATATATAGGAATCGACATTTTGACCTACGAAGCTCTATGTAATTATACGGAGGAAAGTGCACAGAGGAATGTCAAGTCTTAATGGATGATTAACTTTTTATTGTACAATGTCTACGTTTCGGTATACATACTTATACCGTCATGCATGAGTGAGTGAGTGAGTGAGTGAGTGAGTTTAGTTTTACCTCGCACTCAGCAATATTCCAGCTATATGGCGGCGGTCTGTAAATAATCGAGTCTGAACCAGACAATCCAGTGATCAACAGCATGAGTATCGATCTACTCATTTGGGATACGATGTCATGTGTCAACCAAGCCAGCGAGCCTGACCACCCGATCCCGTTAGTCGCCTCTCACGACATGCATGGGTTACAGAAGGTTCATTCTAACCCGGACCTTCACGGGTAGTATATACTGGTCAAAGTTTATGTTTAAAGTATATAATGAGCAAAGTTTATGTTTATTGTATATAATGAGGCTACTACTGCACTATAACTTACTCATTTGGTAATTGGTTGAAGTATTGTAAAATTATTGTCCTCCTGAGAGGGTACGTAAGTCCCCAAACCTTCAAAGTTAAATTTAGACTTATCAGATTTTTAAAACGTAGTATTTTTGTTATTTTAACTGTCGGCTAAATTTTCCTACAATCGCCAGCGGCTGAAGGGATGGTGTAAAATCCAACTAGGGTCCATGCAGGTAGCAAAAGCACTGTAAGTCCCCCATGGTCCCTAGTATGGTGATCTACCTTCAGTTGTGGGCGACCTCTAGCCCTTTCATATTGTATTGCCTTCGTAAATAAAATAGTTTTACATGTACATGCTCCGTAAATAATCGAGTCTGACCCAGATAACCCAGTGATCAGCAGCATGAGCATCGATCTACTCATTTGGGATACGATGACATGTGTCAACCAAATCAGCGAGCCCGACCAGCCGACCCCTTTAGTCGGCCTCTAACGACAAGCATGGGTTACTGAAGGCTCATTCTAACCCGGACCTTCACGGGTACCGTTATGCATGAAAGCGGAATAAGTATCTATACTGACACGTCGCTATTGTACAATAAAGAAGTTGATCATCCATAAAGACTTGTCATTCCTATTGCTTACAACTTCCAGGACGCCTATCAAACAGTTAAATGTACATATAAATGCAAAATGTGAAACACCGCACTTTAATCATTACAGTAGCATTCTTTGGAACACTTTGTCTCTTATTACTCCAACAAAAGTAAAAATGTAAGTAACGCGTCTAAATTGTAATTTGTGACACTCATCGAAGGCAGAAAAAGGGTAAATTTCAAACAATGTCACTGTATGATATTATCATATTCCAGCAAGAGGTGAGATGACCTCGCATCGGGCTCAACGCCACGTTCAACATGATCGCTGTTACATGATCGTACATAGTAAATGTATATAATAAAATAAATATATGGAATGTTTGGAACGGTAAACTGCTATGTAGGTTAAATAACACATTTAGGAAATGTATCTTTAACACATAAGTAACTCCCATTTCAACGAACAAATTTATGATATTGAGAGATATTGTTCAATCGCCGGCAACATGCAGTCGAGTTGGGCCTTTACGTGCGCTTCTCTAAGTGGACGAATGGTGTCGGGATGTTTATAGTATGAGTGAGTGAGTCTAGTTTTACGCCGCATTCAGCAATATTCCAGCTATATGGCGGCGGTCTGTAAATAATCGAGTCTGAACCAGACAATCCAGAGATCAACAGCATGAGGATCGATCTGCGCAATTGGGAACCGATGACATGTGTCAATCCAAGCCAGCGAGCCTGACCACCCGATCCCGTTAGTCGCCTCTTAAGACAAGCATGGGTTACAGAAGGTTCATTCTAACCCGGACCTTCACGGGTAGAATATACTGGGCAAAGTTTATGTTTCAAGTATATACTGAGCAAAGTTTATGTTTATAGTATATAATGAGGCTACTACTGCACTATAACTTACTCATTTGGTAATAGGTTGAAGTATTGTAAAATTATTGTCCTCCTGAGAGGGCACGTAAGTCCCAAAACTTTCAAAGTTAAATTTAGACTTATCAGATTTTTAAAACGTAGTATTTTTGTTATTTTTTAACTGTCGGCTAAATTTTCCTACAATCGCCAGCGGCTGAAGGGATGGTAAATCCAACTAGAGTCCATGCAGGTAGCAAAGCACTGTAAGTCTCCATGGTCCCTAGTATGGTGATCTACCTTCAGTTGTGGGCGACCTATAGTCCGTTTTCATATTGTATTGTCTTCGTAAATAAAATAGTTTTACATGTATGTACATGCTAGTTTTAGACTCCATCTGTGATACGCTAGTTATTTTACAGTCATTCGATGACTGATTATTTAGCAACTTACATTTATTGTGTGTGTAAAACATTTCTCGTCACTATATGGCTGAAATATTGCCGAGGTGACTTGAAACTGTAACTCACTCACTCACTCATTTGGTAATATGTTTCTCTAACAAATGCATCATGGCAACCAGGCCATGTCCTTCCCCATCCGTAGGACTCGCACACTTTGCATTAAAAAGTAACTGTAGCCTGTACACACAGCAGTGCTCCTGTCATTCTTTATAAAGAAACCAGACAATCAAGAAATGGATAAGCAATCCAATAAAACACACATAAGGGTATGTTCATTTTTTAAAACTAACATACTCTCTATCCACCATTTGTTCGAATCATGCATTTTCGCTCTATATGTACAACAACACAACCATGGCTGCTGGCTAAAACGTTCCACTATTTCGCTGGTGGTAACTGCCCACTCAACACAGGCGAATAAACTCTGCCAGGTAACCTAAACATACATATTACTTTCAAGTTTACGGCTGATAGTTGCGTACATATTGCGGTGAAAAACAACAGCATATCGGTAACGGTCACGTATAATCATATTTTCCCAAGCGTTTAGGCCATTATGTCCTGTTTCGTTCTCATGTATCTGAAGCGTATTCAGACTTATTCACGAGGTGGCTGTAAAAGAATGCTTGCTTCAGTTGTAGAGTCACACAAAGTCAATTTATGGTAATGTCAAGTCATTTGTCAGAAAAATAAAATGTTGCCAAACAAATTTCGTTTTAATCTAGGTGTTAGGCAAGGCTGCGTTTTATTTCCTTGCTATTTTTTTTTCATGCCCTTGCTATATCAATTATTCATAGATGTAATTATACACACAAGAGCAAGATCCTTTTTCTGGAGTACAAGTGAGTGAGTGACTTTTACACCGCTTTTAACAATATTCCAGCACTATCACAGCGGGAACACCAGAAATGGGCTTCACACATTGTACTCATGTGGGAATCGAACCCGGGGCTTCGGCGTGACGAGCGTAGGCTTTAACCATTGGCCCATCCTGGAGTACAAGAATGTCAGTCAATTTTGAATAACCTAAAATTGAATTTTTTTCTGAATGGTGAGCTGCTGAGTAAAAAGTTACACAAGGTTTTAATTTGTGGCTCTGTTTTTAGCATCAAGCTATTATGGACACAGGCTTTAAACATTATTGCAGTCAAGCCAAAACGGTATTGATTAACCTATTTCTGGTGTGTTTTAAATGTAATTTTCTCCCAAATGGCTTTGGACATTATTTGATGCTAAGATATCATCCATGTTATTGCATAGGTCCGAAATACTCACATTCCGTAAAATGGAAGAGGTTGATCAGACGAAAGTCGATTTCTGTAGGTCATTACTGATTCCCAAGCTCGTGTTTGGTGCCGCATAAACACAGCGTCATCTCAGCGTAATCTCAGCGGAATATCTGAGCAAAGTACTGTTTGGCGGGGTTCATTGATGTTTTGGGATGCCTCTCGCAGGACTGTAAACATGACCTTGTAATGATTGGACAAAATCTAAAATATACAACTGTACATCCCTGACATTCCACATTTCAATGACTATCCTCTTTACACAAGGGCAATCTTCATAGACGACAAGGCTAGGCCATTATCGTGCCCGTGACGTAGGGAGATTTCTAACGTCAAGAGGCGGAAGGAACTCTACTTTGGCCTACAAGGTGTCCAGATCTCAATTCCATGAAAGACTTCATGTAAATATGTTTTTCATGACAAGGATTTATTTATTAGTCTTTATGATTGTGAACCCTATGTCAAAGTAAATTTTCACCTCTGGTTTGAATAACTGTTGTTACTCGGTTCACAATCCATCTTTGTTACTTGAAACATATCCCGGACCACTGATGTTATTCCGAGCCCAGCAGCTGCAGTTTGTGGAAAAATGCGAGTAATGACAAAATCAACATTTATTGCGAATATACATAGGGAAGAATAAACTGACGCACAAAAAGAAACATTATCAAACTGAATTTTGACGTTGGGGCAGAACCTCGAATACTGTTACAAAATGATTTGCCCACAGTCGCTAAAACACAAAAATAACCGACTTTCCAGGTAATGTTAGTGGCGGGAGGGGTGTGCGTTCGTGTGTCACAATGAGTCTCGGCAGTTAGTGGCAAGCAGAAAAAATCGACATCCATACAAGGTCGCCTCTTTACATTAATTGCACTTCGCAACAGATTCAAATATACCACCTTTATTCATAGGGAATTCCGTACAATAACAGGCCGAATTGCAACATGGACCGTTTAAAACCAACTCTATGCCTTAAGGAGAGGCGTCCATGGAAGGGTAAGACCAAAACAACTGAACCAAGGCTTCAAACACTGATGTGGGCCAGGCGATACAAAATGTTTACAGACGAATCAAGGTTTTACCTCCGATTCACATATGTCAGAAACATTGTTGGCCATGACCAATATAGGAGCGTAAGTACCATTAAATCTGGATTACATGTGACAGGCAAACTGTTGTAAACTGACATTTGACAGTGATATTGCTTCCCTGTCATTGTTCCATTCGCAGAATTATCAGCAGAAATTTTGAACTGCAAAACGCCGCCGAAGTAACCACCGGTTATCTACTTTGAGAAAGCATTCAGCAGTGTATGAAATAAGCCAAAACCCAGCCAGACATCAGGGCTGGTTACTTCAAAATGTTACCAGCCCAAAATGGATTTAACCAGACCAGACAATTTTGAGGAAATCACTCAATTGTCAGCATTTCGGCAATATTGAAATGTACATGCAGTGCTTTGTGTTTGCAGAACTCCGTGCATCGATATGTGTCGCTGTTTTAGTGATAATATATATCAACACAGTGCTTTGAGCTTGCGATACGATATTTCAATGTTTTAAACAGTAATTGTCAACTCTAAATGTAACACTCATTTTGAAAAATAGATTATAAGATATGGTGAATTTACTCAGATGTATGGAACTGTTTATTTAAGTTTTACCAGACCATCGGGCTGACTAGCTGTAAATTTAGACCGTCCGTCAGAAATCTATCCCGTCTCGGACGGTCGGACGGGCCTGCATACAGTTAATGGAATGGATCGCTGAGTCTAAATCAATGTGCCCAAACAGAGTATAAGAAGAATGTCCTCAGGCGGAGAGATATTATCACAATTTGTACCAATGATTTGGGTGTCAAATTTCTAATCTATTGAGAGTAAACGCAGTTCCTCCACATTCTAAGGAACTGCGTATACACTCAAATATATAGATAAAACAACCTGACAAACTGCAGTATTCTATAACGAGAGTGTATTGTATATAGACTATGGCACATCCCATATAAGGGTAAACATACCTCCATGATGGTCCCTTTCCTCTGTGCGACTTGGTAGATAAGTGTGATTGGTATCGGTGCAGTCATGAGAACTGCCATAAGAATTCCTATCACCTTGGCGTGGACTGGATATATGTATGTCCCGTAGCTGGGCGGGTCGTACATGAAGAGAGATAGGTTCAGTGCCGCCTGTGGAATAAAAGTATACAGTGAACTAATTTGGGAGTTATTCAGAATGTTATATTCTCACATAAACCCCCATGTTTTCACTGACTTTCACCAGAGTCTTTAAAACATACACTTTTTATTCACCTTAGGAAACCATCGTAAAACATGTCTTGCTGGTGCACAAGTACTTTGAAAAAGATTCTTAAAAAGAAATCTGATCATCAGCTAGTTAGTTTATTCACTCACTGGGCTGGAGAAAGGAATGTTACGTCCATCTCTTTGAAGCATTAGTAAGCTATTTGATCTGACACCAGTCCACACATTCCCTTGGGTAGTTTGTGTTTTGTTGCATGTGTTCAAATACAATATCTCCAGAAAAGAGGCACTCTCTGTGGAAACTGTGTCTGGTACGAGGGACAATCTATAGAAAGTCCCTACATTCTTCTGTAGATTCTGCTTCGGCAGCCTGAAGATTAGGTTACCATGAAGTAGAAGGATCTCTTATAACAATAACTTGACGTCACTTGAGGTTTCTTGTGCGTTTAGTTGGAACATAAATTGGTGGATGATATGTATATAAGTGATGTTATGATTCCCTTTCATGCTTGGTCAGAATCACTTATTCGAAACAACAAGAGGTAGATCCTGACGCAAATAAGGGACTCGACTCTTAATTGCCTCCCGGAATGCCTCGTGTAATAGCAGTATTACCACACACCTTCCAAAGAGTACTTACGGGTGTCCACTTAAATCACTAACTTAAGTCCCTAACTGTTCACATCCAAAGTTAGAACTCGTCTCCCCTGTCACTAATGCATATGGTTATTGTCACAGGCGACTAACAGGTGGTCAGGTTCCCCACACATGCATTATCATGACTCGATTGATGCATGTCTTTGTATCCCAGTTCGGTAGATCAATCACTGGATTGTTGCAGCATACTCAGTTATAGACCCCGTGATACAGATGAAATATTTCTTGAGCGCGTGGTTAGCCATCAAAGACATTAACAAAGCAACAAACCAACTAAACGTATGTTTAACTACAAACAGAATGACAGGGCAATGAGTGAGTGGAGTGAGTTTAGTTTTACGCCGCGCTCAGCAATATTCCAGCTATATGGCGGCGGTCTGTAAATAATCGAGTCTGTACCAAACAATCCAGTGATCAACAGCATGAACATCGTTCTACCTAATTGGGAACCGATTACATGTGTCAACCAAGTCAGCAAGCCTGATCACCCGATCCCGTTAGTCGCCTCTTACGACAAGCATGGATATTGTAGACCAATATTCTAACCCGGATCTTCACGGGTCGACAGGGCAATGAATGTCAGTGTGTTGTACATTACAAGTAGTGACTGTGTTAGCCATGTGTCCAGATTGGGTTACTTACAAACAAGATGGGAAAGGAACTACAGTATGCTGTTCAAATCAACTGTGTTGTGCTGACTAAGTTTAGCAACTAACTCACCATTGCATGTGTCCATGATAATTGCCTCTGGTTCGGCAGGATGCGTTCACCTTTTAGTGTTATCACTACTTGGTAGTGATTCATGTGTATGTTAATGCTCGGAATTGTAAATCGACTCTGCTTTTCACAGAGATGTCTTATGGGTATGGAAAGACAGATTCTAGTTGTTTCTATTTACAAACAGGCTAACTTACGTAACTACAATATGAGGTACATTATAACATCCCATGTAGGCTAGAGGTGAGGTGAAATTGGGTTTTACGTCGTGCTTGAGAATATTTCGCTCATATGACGACGTGCATGCGTATGTATGTGTATGTGCGGCTGCTTGTACTAGCCCAGACTGAAGCTGGTTTTATAGTGCTAGCTCACTGAGATACCATGCCGCAGTGAAGCATGAATACCCCACTCAGACACATTATACTGACTCCGAGCCGACCAGTCCTTGTTGTGCCCATTAATGCCGAGCGCCAGACAGGGACCAACAAGTACCATATTTTAACGTCTTTTGGTATGACGCGGTCGGGGATCAAACCCGCGACCTTCCGCTCTCCGGGCGGACGCTCTAACCACTATACCACGGTGGCGGTTTCCAATGTAGGCTAGATGTACTTACAAACATGATGACAGGGGTGATGTAGGATAACATGAAGCTCAGCACTGTAGGGGCTCGTCGCCCAAGCATCATCTCCACGTCCAGGTTGAACCGCTTGGAACCTGAAGCAAATATTTAACATAGCACTGAAGCACAGCTTACTTGTTATATGTTCTCTGTAATACAATGAGTGAGTGAGTTTAATATTTATCGTCACATCGATAATTTATATTTCAGCCATATCGTGACGAGAACAATTAATATTATATTAAAGTTCAATAAAATTAGAAATTAAAAAAACTGTTGACGAACAGTAAAATCACTAGTGTATCACAGATAGACATATACAACTAGCATGTAATTTAGAACTTATACTATAATCCAAGACAATGCAATATAAAATACGGGCTATAGATCACCAGCAACTGAAGGTAGATCACCATACTAGAGACCACGGGGACTTAGAGTTCATTTGCTACCTGCATGGACCCCAGCCGGATTTACATCATCCCTTCAGCCGCCAGTAATTGTAGCTAAATTTATCCCGAGTTTAAAATCACAAAAATGCTACGTTTTTATAATATTCGGTAAGCTTAATTTACCTTGAATGTTTTGAGACGTACGTACCCCACAGGAGGTGTAATACAATGACTCAGCGAGTGTCTTAAAAGTAATGCTCATGTGCTTGTCACATATTTCAGAAAACAGAAATAACAAACATTTGACTGCCAGACAAACGTTCTTCAATTCTAAAAGACTACTCAAGACAACGAACCTGTTCACCTCTTCAAAAGACCACCATTTACAACCATGGAATCCTGCAACTCAAGGGTGACGCCTTAGGTAAATTGTCCAACTCATATCAATGTTAAAGAGTGACCTTGTGGGATTATGAAAGCGTCATATGTACCCATTGTTTGAGGATGTTGTGGTAATGACTTGGGTGAATAAGAGACGTTTTGTATAATAAGTTTATCATTATAATGAGCTCATAGCTTCCTGTACATATAAAGAATACTAGACAAGCTCGTTGTCACTTTATCTGCTGCTTGTCTGTTTATTTGATATTTCACTGTCGTCTACATCATAATTCGATAAAGAATATCAGAATTATAATTCATACGCAGTAATAATGAGGTGAGGTGAAATTGGGTTTTACGTCGTGCTTGAGAATATTTCGCTCATATGACGACGTGCATGCGTATGTATGTGTATGTGCGGCTGCTTGTACTAGCCCAGCTGGTTTTATAGTGCTAGCCCACTGAGATACCATGCCGCAGTGAAGCATGAATACCCCACTCAGACACATTATACTGACTCCGAGCCGACCAGTCCTTGTTGTACCTATTAAATGCCGAGCGCCAGGCAGGGACCAACAAGTACCATATTTTAACGTCTTTTGGTATGACGCGGTCGGGGATCGAACCCGGGACCTTCCGCTCTCCGGGCAGACGCTCTAACCACTACACCACGGAGGCGGTCCAGCAATAATGAAAACGTATTATTAGACTGTACTGTTCCGTAAACAAGGCTATCGTAGTGCTAAGATCATCGTAACTCCCATAATAAAACTCAGATTTACGACTGTTGAGCTTCGATCACACGACTACCTGAACCACAAGTTTACAAACACGTCATATACCCTATGGCGAAATTTGGGAATTAAATATTATACAGGCGAAAAATGCTATGGGACGCCAGCGTTACAGGGTAATCGAGTAAGCATAAAGCTCCTCTCATTGATCTTTCATCTCCATGTGCTATGAATTTGAATGTGTTCAATGAGTTTTCAATATTTATTAGTGACAGCAGTTCCCGCCGCACCTATGCACTCGCTTTGGTATTATAAATTGTTTAAAGGCACAATTTCACACATTTTCAATAATATTTTGGCCTATGTTATATATATTTGGGGCATATGCACTCACTTCAGCTTCCTATTAATGCAACACAAGACTTATTATCCGTTGCGACTTGCCTGAAATCGATAATTGAAACTTCGAGGCGAACAGCTTCCAAAACAGAGAACACTTGTCATATAATATGTGGAATGTAAACAATTACTCCGGTGTTGGCGGTGTTTGCCGGACTAGTTTAAATCACAAGTTGCGCGTATATTTTTTTGCGCTAGGCATTTTGTCTAGGACGTAGGAATTATAGGATATTTGTAACGAGCGCTCTAAGGGACAAAACTGTATAGGGTTCGCTTGAAATAATGTTCGGCCGGTAGACTGACTGACTGACTGAGTTTAGTTTTACGCCGCTTTTAGCAATATTCCAGCAATATCACGGCGGGGGACACCAGAAATGGGCTTAACACATTGTGCCCATGTGGGAATCGAACCGGGTCTTCGGCGTGACGAGCCAACGCTTTAACCACTAGGCTACCCCACCGCCCCTCGGCCGGTAGAGGGCGCGGGAGTCGATTTAATGCAACATTGCAGTAATTCGTTCGAACTTTATTATTAAATTTTGTAATCTAAATTCGTAATTTATTTTGGAATACATTAAATGATAGTTTCATTGAGGGCTGATAGAAAGAAATACATTATATTTTTTAGAGAGGTGATGTGTGAAATAGTGCTTTCAACTCCATGCTTATTGTAATTAAACTTTGGTACTTTCAACGGGCGAGTAATAAAACTGAAATAACATAGTATTTTATTATTTACAGATGTGCAACTTTACAAATTACATCACAATCTTCATAATACTTAAAACATCCAATTATAATGTGCACACTAGGTCGAAAAGATGCGCGGCGAAGCGGAAAAAACCCTTAATATGATCAGAATATGTAAGTTATGACAATCTGGAGAAGCTTTATCAATTTTCAACTGGTTAGTCTTGAATACATATATTTATACATATAAAAGGAAACTGTTTGGCGTAAAGTTTCAGTTGGTGAACACACAATGTACATTATAAATATGATAAAGTGAGTTTTCACATGGATTAGTACAGTGAATACGAGCCAATTCTACCGTGGGGTTCACTGTGGTTCACTGCATGATCGAGTCCAGTGTTGTCAGTGGGTTATCTATCTGAATTATGAAAACACCGTCAATAACCATAACAAAAGTTTGGTTCAGGGTTTGCTAAATATTGAATGTTATAAATTAATTCATTTCAAATAAAACAGACATTGAAACTGAGTAGCATAGCAATCCTCAGCCACAGCAAAGTATAAACCCCTAAAGAAAATTAACCAAGCCTAACCATGTTTAGTGCGACATCTCGCCACTACTTCGTTTTAACTACTTCTTTGAGGCCAGACTATGCATAAATTTCTGTGTTGCAGGTGATAAGAGCATATATAGTTGTTTTTAAAATTTTGCCATAACGTCACTAATAGGTAGAAGTCTATAGTAGAATATTTGCTCTCGTGTAACGTTCAACGTCCGCTTGCTCATTGTCGCAATAGGATATAACGGTACAGGCCGTCACTACCAAGCTTCAGATTTGAAGTTCCCTGTGAACACGAAGACGATCGTATTTGAACACTGACATAACAGTGTCACATACCAGTCAATGTTTGTATAGAAATCTAAATGTATATGTACACACACACACACACACACACGCGCATATATCTATCTATCTATATCTACACACACACGCACGCACACACACACACACATATATATATACATATACATATATATATATATATATATATATATATATATATATATATATAGATAAATAAAAAAAGAATGCCTTTTTCTCCAACATGTTTCGTTCTTTACTCTTCAGGGAGATTGTAGCGGTTACAGTATGACGTCATTTCATATATATTGTGACGTCATAATAGGGACAACATTCTAGAGCGACAAGGTCACAGCTTGCAATGGTTTAACATTGGTTTGTACTTGTCTATGAAGTAGTGTTCTTTAAAAATTCGTTTTACTTTGTCCGAATTTTGAACTTGATAAAAGGAAATATTGTAAATTTAACATCGTTTCCTTTCGCACAGACATCTAGATGTTCACTCAGTGGGATACATCGGGTTTCAGGACACTTTATTTGTTGTTTGTGGACACGAACCCGGGCTCTTAAATTTTCTGATTGACCAATATACTGTTCATTACAGCCTGTGCATGTTATGACATATATTATGTTTTTGCAAGAGCAGTCAAAATTCTGTTTTACATAGAATTCTCCGTGTCTCGTGAAAGTTACAGAGTGTCCTTCAACAATATGTCGACACGTTCCACAGTTACCTCTGTTGCATCTAGACACAGTAGGATTTGATAAATTCTGTTTCTTTAAAATAAATTTGGCTTTTGTTAGTATCTTTTTAAGATTCTGATTTTGTCTTTTGCTATTTATTATTTTTCTAGATTTCAGCATTGATTTCAGTTTTTCATCTTGTTCTAAGATGCACATATTTGTTTTTATGTTCTGGAACACATTTGGGTTCAACGAATTATAAGTAGATACAAAGCAATTACTTTTTCCTCATTGGTTTGTTTCATCGTTCCTGTCAAAAGATTGTCTCTATTAAGCTGTAAAGCTATATATATTCCGTCTTCAACAAGAGATTTTGGATATTCCCGTAATAGTAAAACGTCCTAAGTTCATTCAGTCTTTGATTGCGGCTGTCTTGGTTTGAAACTATTGTACATATTCTTCGTGCCAGGTTATATGGAAGACTTCTTTTGGTGTGGCTCGGATGGCAAGATTTGAAGTTTAAATATTGTTTCGTATCTGTAGGTTTGTAGAAGATATCTGTGTCCAATTTCCGCCCCGATTTGATGACCATTGTGTCTAAGAAAGCTGTTTTAGTTTCATCTGCCTCCATAGTGAAAACAAGATTTTCGTCCATGCTATTTAATAGTTCGTAAAATGTATTTAGTTTCTCCTCAGAAAATGGCCAAATTATGAAGCAGTCGTCTAGAAATCTTTTCCAATTTTCCATGAAATAATGGGCAACATCCTCTCAAGAATTTGACTGATTTTATGCTTGAACTTTTCCTCCAGATATCCTAAGACAAGCTTCGCATAAGTCAGCGCCATTTTGGTTCCCATGGCTGTTCCTTTAATCTGTTTATAGTACTTATCGTCAAAAAAGAAAATATTGTTTTTAAGATGAATTCAACGCTTTCAAAATGAATGATTT